CTGGATGGCCACTGAATGCAGCAAAATGGCAGTCTGCTGCCATCCGCTGGACATCTAGGGCTTTGCATCTCCAATCTGGTAATTTTAGCTAACTAAGGACACAATTTTGTTCAACAAAGTTTTTGTTGGAAAATTCCCCTTCCAGAGGCTAGGATAGCCCCGACCCTGCTGGTCTTTTGTGAGGCACTAAAGACCTAGTTCTGGGCCTGAGCCTGGGGCCCCGAATATACAAAAGCACCCATCTCCTAGCTGTATTAGTGCTGTTGACTGTGTAGCTTTTCTCGACTGCTATAGATTTTAATTTTTGCATATATGATATAATTGTTTTTATTCTGTTTGTTGCTATTTGACACCCAGCAAGATGGGTGGCTTTACAAATCAATTACATAAATAAATGAAGTAGTTTCTAGCATTCATGCAATTAGAAGCTGACATGTATTATGCTAAAATTCAGCTAAAAATATTTTTAATGGAATCTGAAATCCCATTGACTAGCCTATTTCTCAATGTTCATTTTCATATTTTGCTGATATTTCTTAATCCGGGCAGCACCACTATGAGATAGCTATATACCACTCATAGTTAATCTATCCAATTATTTGATGGATAAATATAACATTTTTAAAAAGTGGAAGAGTTGCCCATTTCAATTAAATGATAAACATGCTAGTATTACTGATGCTGCATTCTGAGTTATCTACTTATGTTGACTCAGGATTTAGATACACAAATGATTTCATCGATTTCACTGACTGAATATTTATAGTTCCATGGGGAGAATTCATGCCATTTGTTTATTTAGGGTCTGCATAGAGATTATGTTATTAAATATAAGTAGCGGTTATGTGTGAATTTCATGCTTATGTTTAATTGAGATAGCAACTTCTTCAATATTTTCCTGGCTGTTGGTTACAGGCTGTTTAGAGCGTCACATATTAAATGCTCCATTTAAATGAATCCAAAAGTAAACAGTATCTCAGTCTTGGTGTCACATGTCCTGAACATGTGACATATTCATTAATGTATATTTCAATACATTTCATTCAACCATTAGTTTGCCAGTAAATGTTTATGAAATATTAGGTTGCAAAGCGTGAAAAAGCTTGAAAAATCACAACAGATTTCACATCTGGAGTAGTTTGATTAATATAATTTAAATGAGATGTTATTAACTCCACTGTATATATTTGGTTCAGCTCTAATGGATTTACTCTTATTGAGTTAAGTAGCAATTAGCATCTAAAATACGTACTTTTTTTTTTTGGTAACACATAGATCCTAATGCCATGGCACTGAGAGGTATTTCTGAATGAAGAAATATTCTCATAGTAAAAGTGAAACTATGGCCTTGAAAAAACTTCGGTAGAGAGGTAAGTGAATATGGAATGATTATAAACATAAAACAGTCATGAATGCATCAAATAGATATCATGTACATGTGATGAGGAAGCAAGCTTGTATACATGTTCTTATGATGTATCTGGGATCATATGAATCACAGTTCATATATCTGTACATTTGTATATGTATTATTATTCAAATGAGCAGAAATCTACCTGGGTCACATGGTATCCTATCTATCTTGTTGCAAAGGATCATAACAGGAATCACACATAGTGAGTATATAAAATACTTTCTACTCACCAGCAGTGCTTCTGTTTACTAGCAATGTGTTAATCATAGGAATAACTGATTAACTGTACCTTGAATTTCATTAGTTATACATTATGGGATTTGATGGTTTTGACTGCTCATAGAGAAAACAAACCATACTTTATTTATACAGATATAGATTATACTGACCACCTGTTGCTTTTTCCCCTTTTTCTTATCCAAACTAATGTTCTAGGAGACAAAAGGATTATGCAGTTTGGAGGGGGGACAACATGGTATTAAATCTAAATATTCTCTCAGCAAGTCGAGACTTGATGGACACTGATCTTCTACCCCTTTCTATTCAACTATAGCTCCCTTTCAAAAACCTTTGAGAGCCTGAGGTTCTGTTGAATGGACTGGACTATGGCATGGGGAGAACAAGAAAGAAAGCATGCTTAAGTAGATGGAAACACCTTCATTCACAGAAGGTGTTTCTATTTGATTTTGGATACCCTACCCTTCCTCCTGCCCTTCACATTCTGATCTACTTCATTTAGCATGTTCTCCCATTCCTCAAAGAAACATTTTCAAGATACTATGCAAACTCCCAAAAGGAGAAGGAATAGGAAAATCCATTCTATCAGCCTGATTACAAGGACAAATAGATGAGTTCATATCATTCTGCTGTAGTAGAGTTTGTGATAAGCATTAATGTTGGAAATATAGCAATAATTATGTCTTAGTTTTGCTTATGAAAAATGTACTATTACTGTTTCAGAATCTTAAAATATCCATGTGGTTTAAGAGACAATTAACTTATTAATGGGTGTACACATATATACACACAGCCAACAAATTAATAGAACTAATCAGATCATTTTGGTCCATTCTAGAAAAAGGAAGCTATTACATTAGAGGTTGGATTAGAATTCATACATTTCTGAAGTCTCAAGAGCTGCACAGATTGTTCCAAATTCAGAGTGACAATTTCCTGCAGTGAGATTATTATATGCTCAAAAGTGGAAAGGTTCAGCGTTACTCACAATAGAAGAATGGTTGGTGAAGATGATGGAACTTGCAGAGATGCTTAAACTGACTTCCCCAATTAGAGAAAATACAATATCTATATTTATGGCTGACTGAAAACTTCATTTTTTTTCTGATGATTTGTGGGTTTTTTTTAATAACTTTATTAAATTTTAAAAACAAAAAGATAAAAACTAACAAGAACTAATAATCAAGAAAAAGAAAAGAAGAAAAGAAAGAATAAAGAGAAAGGAGAACAGAAGTGCAGAAAGATAAAGAAAAAGAAATACAAAAAAAAGGAATGATTTCCGACTTCTTTTACAGCAGATAAAACGAGAGCTTTTCTTTTTGTAACCATAGAATAAGAGACAATTTTGTAATCATACTTGTATTTGCTGCAAAGAAAATTTCTTTTCATCTATTCTTTTTATACTTTTGTCTTTCTTTTGATTTTCTCTTTTCCTTTTTTCTCTGTTTACTTTATATTAGTTTTTATCTTCTTTTTGAAACTTTTAATAAAATTCATGTGTGTGTGCGCGTGCGCGCGTATAAAACAAACACAGAGTGACATTTCAAATGCTCACAGCAAATCATCCTATTTTTCCAGAATTTTTCCTGAGCTCATGTAAAGGAATAT